AAGAGAGAAGACGGTGACCCCGGCAGCCCAACGCGGGGGCGATCCACTTTTTCGGTAGCGAAAGATGTCTTAATGGCCGGGATGATTTGGCACTTGAATCGACCAACGGTTTGGGTGGTTTTTTTTCTCCTCATTATTAATTTGAGGTTTCGCAAAGTTTAATTCGATGCTAAATTAACCGAGAGTCATACTATCATTTGTTACAAAATAAGTCACGCGGAACAGATCATCACTAAATGCTAGACCGTCCAACAAAAAAAACCCGTCCGGTTTGGATGTCATTCAGAATTTAGCAATTTCATGCGCTACCTCATTTTCATCTCTATTGATCATCCTTGGAGAAAATTTCCTAACGCCTCTTTCTTCAAGTCCACAAAGGCTGATATTTCCAAGACATGATTAGACAAGTAGTTCTTCATGAATAGACAGTCCATATCCATAATGATGGGATTTTGTAGAGCCAAATCAATATGAAGAACCGTGAGGCAAGATTGAAGCTCTCCTTCCTCCACACTTGAACGGAAACGGTGGAAGTCCCAGGAAGACAGAATGACCACACCTCTATGATCTCTCGGCACAATACCAATGCTTGCACAAAGATCATCAGCCAGGTAGCTTGCTTCAACATTTAGCTTAACAATTCTTACCGGAAGCACCTCCCGCACACACCTGAGGACGAGAAGGGCAAAAAATGAAGTCTGGTTAACAATGGACTTACATTTGTCCGTACACGATAGATATGAGTCCCTTCTCATGCCAGCAAGGGCATCTCCAGTGGTAACCCACAAAAAACCTCCCACATCGTCCACGGACACGGATGCAGGAGATAGTCATCCAACTATAGCCACATACATCCTGCCTTTCGGATTTTTTTTAGTCCGCATGATCAAGTAGCCGCATGCAAAGGGCACAGAAGTTCAAATAGCCGCATGCAACACTAGTTCAAATTTTAAAAAGTTCAAATATTTTACATCCCAATGTTGTTGTCCTCTTTCACCGCCCACTAATGCTCAATCAGATTCTCCTTGAGCTGCTCGTGTGCATTTGTATAAACTCCTCAAATGTGCTGGATTCTGGTGCGGAAGTTGGATAGGATCACCCATGTTCTCAAATTCCAGAGCCGTGGCAACATCGTCACCCTCATTCTCGACGATCATGTTGTGGATGATCACACAACATGTCATCACCTCCCACAAGGTCTTCGGATCCCATTGTTTTGCAGGTCCACGAACAACTGCAAAACGAGCCTGCAGAACTCCAATAACCAGATAGTAGCGCATGTTGTACTCATGCCCATTGACAGTATAGTGGCAAGGAGGAGCTTTCCCTTCAATCAGCCTCGCAAATAACGGCGATCGTTGCAACACATTGATGTCATGTGAGACCTGGGCATGCCAAAAAAGCGTGCCAAATCCAAAGATCCTATGATGCATGCAACTGCTTCAAGAATACTGGTGGGCTTCTTAACATGACCCTGATATTGCCCTTGTAAAGCCTTCGAGCAGTTCTTCCATTTACAATGCATGCAGTCAAGAGACCTAAGCAAACCTGGCCACACTCTTGCTTCTGAGATTGCCAGAAGCCTCTTGGCGTCTGCCACAGTTGACTCTCACAGGTACCGAGGCCCGAACACCTCGACCACGGCAGTTGCAAGCCTGACCATGGCATCTTCACATGTACTCTCAGACATCCGTAGGTACTCGTACCACGAACCAACGACCGTGCCATATGCAAGCATCTAGAGTGTGCATGTGCACTTCTGGTAACTAGAGAAGCCAATCGTTCCCACAACGTCCTTCTCCACGATGAAGTAGTCATCGTACGACCGTATGCCATGGTACAAACGATCTAAGACGGTCTTGCGCATCCGAAAACGCTGGCGAAAATGGTCAGTGAAGAGTGCATTTGGGGCAAAGTAGTCGGCCATCAGTGTCAAATGCCTCCGTGCCCTGTTGCGGTTGAGCACGCGATGACCCTTGATCGAACCCTTGAAATTGAGAACATGATCCTCCGCACGCTCCGCGTCTTCAAGGACCGCCTGCATCATTGTCGTCTCATCGGAGGAGTCAACATACTGCTCGTATATGTACTCCAAATCGAAATTCATTGCTACAAACAAGAAAGGATAGCTATTTTTAGCTCCGGCGATTCATCGACCAGTTGTCGGGGATGGTAGAGGATGGTACCTGGCGGGGCCGTCGGAGGACAAGGGGTTGAACGGAGACGGCGGAGAAGCGGCAGGAAGCCCTGCTGGATTGCTGGAGGTGACGGGGACGCAAATTTCCGGCAGGGGTGTGGTGTCATGGCCAAGTTAGTGGAGCTGCCGCGACGGCAAAAGAGAAAGAAGGAAGAAGAGAAAATGGGGAGGATGGAGTCGCGGGGTCCGGAAAGGGTTTTGGATGGGCATGTGGTGTCGGATTCGTATGTTTCGTGTGTCTTGACTCCCGCATACCTCCCCCACTTTTGTCTCCTTTTTGCGGTAGAAATCACGTCCGTTCCGCCTCGCGGGTCGATACAAGGCCGCGTTGGATCGCTTCCGCGGTCCGGACAGTGTGGTCCGGACGGTTGCGGGGGGTTTACGGGTCTACCTTGAAGATGCCCTAAAGCTCATTCACATATTATCCAGCAAGATGACCGAAGCCCTTGCAGAGGCCTTTCCATCACCAGAAATTGCATTGTTCCTCAAATATCAGGCCCTACATAAGAAAATCAACAATTTAGATTGATGGCCCTCGTTGATCTTTTTTAATAAAAGGACGAACCACCCATGACCACCCTGAATTAGTAATTCCTCCTCGGGGAGGTCTCAAATCTCTCTGAGAGCATCTACTGTTGGGCGCCTCTAGCCGGTCTTAAACGTCCGGGCGAACGGATCGGTCATTGAGTGGTAAAAAAAGTTGAGCCAGCCGGGCACCTAAAACCGGCCCTAAACACCCAGGTTGTCCGGCATCCCTCATATTCAGCTCAAATCTAGAGCAGATATGAGGAGGCTCGGGCGCATCCACCACGTCATCCCGGCCCACTATGGCTCACCCCAACTCCAGTAAATTCAACATCGGGAGCAAACCCTAGCTCACTACACTCTCTCGCGGTGTTCTCTGTTTATTCTCCTTCCACTCCCATCCAATTCCCATGTCCTCTCCGGCAACCATGTCGACAAGGGTGGAGGTGATGGATCTGACGATGATTGGGATGCATTCCTCCGTGATTCGGCTGGCGACTAGGAGCTGTCACTCCGCATCAAGTTGTAGCTCTCGAGGGTGAACACGTGAAACATCTACGACCCTGCTCTGTCCCGTTCCGCAACACTGATGTTGTAGTGGGCCCGTCCCTCACCGTGCAGAGCTCTGCAAGGTGCACCCGCTCCATGCCGTTGGTCCGTTGCCGCCGTCCTAACCCTCTGACCGCTGCTTCTCAAGGGACAACAGTGGATGTTAATGCCTGCTTTGCCGGCACCACGGATGCGCTCGCCCGATCTGAGGCGCACGTCGCCTGCCGCGAGAGGCAGTGGGCAAGGGAGAGGGCGGCGTCGTTGGAAGCGGTCGCACAGTCCTTCTGCGGCCGCCGTAGGATGTCAGTGATGCTCGATCATGAGGAGTGGGTCCTCGTGGGTCTATCGCCGCTCACTTATCATGGTGAAGACGGACTCCCGCCGGATCCATCAGAAAAACGCAAAAAGGCACTCCGGGTTGGGCTAGAGCCGTCCACGCGTGAGGCAACCAATGCATCGGGGAAGGCAGTGAGGGTAGTGAAGCTCAAGAGGTAGCAGGACTGCGTCGTTTGAAGGATTGCGGGTTACACCTCCTGCCGCCGATGCCTACCTGGAAGCCTAAAGCACCGCCGAAGACCGGAAGGGCAAAGGGCCGGAGAGAAAGTGGTGAAGCAAGGCCCTCTCTCCGTGTTTATTTCCGTTATTAGTAATCTTAGTTTAGAACTTGTCTGTCGGCTAAACTGTGCTGGTTTTTTGGTGATCGATTATGTGGATTATGTCCTTTAGTTGTCGATCTCTACGTCTGTTTGCTGTCACATTTCTATGTCCGTTTAATGATCTACGAAGTTCAGTTTTACGTTGCATGCTTTAGTATGAATACAAGGTTACCTGATATAAGATACACGGCTGCGGATGCGACAATTTACAGATTGCCGGCCAGCTTACACGGACGCGTCGGAACGTGGCTGCGGACGGTGCTGGATTTGACAAATCCGGCTGTAAATGCCCTCACAAGCCTGCGAAGTGTACGGACTTTAGGACAAGCCAAGAGAGCGTGAAACACATCCTTTTCTATTACTCCACAAATCATACACATCCTGCGAGCGACCTGGTCATGTATGATTCTTGAAGACTGGACTGCCACAGCCATACTATCGGCACACCAAGGCAAAAGTTTTAACTTTAGGCGAAACATTAGCCTTCCAAACGAGATTCCAAAGTTTCCTACCGCCATCTGAAGCTCAATTATGTTGAACCTATCCATAGATGCATAGCACTTCTTACCGAAGAAACGCGATTCTTCTCATAGTAGCAAGCGACAAAATCACCACGCCAAAGGAAGGGATACGTACCACATGTGACACCATATACGTTTTTGGGTTTTATTTTTATCATTTCTTGACGCCGCGTGTAAACTACAGTTGGACGTCCGCCGGCTCCGCGCAACTGAAGTTGCACGCCCGCCGGCTGTGCACGGCTACATATCCACCGGCCATGCACAGCTGCAGTTACACGCCCACTAGAAAGAAATTTTTAGTTAACAATGTTTTACATTTCGTTTCCCTATTTAACACTGAAGAAATATTTCTTTCCTATCTAACACCAACTTTAATTTTTTTTTTATGATAACCCCAACTTTAAATTTTGTTCCCAATACAACACTTCCAGCCATTTTTTAACCTAACGGTGTTAAATAACATGTGAAATGACAAGTTTACCCCTGGTGCCGGCTACAAAAACTCCTCGAGGCGGGTGGGGGGAACAGCTACCGTGCAGGGGAAACATGTCGGAGAGATTTGTTGGTCATGTCGCTCCTGCATTTTTATTATATTTCTTAATCTTTTTTCTGTTGTACAAGCAGTCTTGACGGTGCTTATATGCACGACGAGAGACTTGATTAGAACTAGAAAACCTAAGTCTAATATAAAGAAAATGATTGCATAGATGTTCGAGGGCGGAATTGTCATTTCATGTGCCATTTAACACTGTTTGCAAAAAAAAGGATGGAAGTGTTATATTGGGATAAAATTTAAAGATTGTGTTAGATAGGGAAGAAATATTTTTTCAGTGTCAAATAGGGAATAAAAATTTAAGATGGTGTTAAATAAGGAATTTTCTCCGCCCACTAGCCATGCGCAACTGCATGTGCACTGGTCAGGTGCAACTACATTTGCATGTCCGCTGACCTTGTGCAATTATATTTATGTATTTTATTTGATTTATTTAGCTTCAACTGAAAAAACAACAAAATTTATATTAAGGTATTTTGAAAATATAAAGTGAACGGGAAAATTATATGCTGATGTCAGTAACTTATTGAGATCTAATCACACCGTTAATATATTCCATTTGCGTGTTGCTGTTGAGAAATGCATATCATCTTAAAAAGTGAAGCGCATGCCTTTGTTAAATTAGAAAAAATGGCTACAATTGAAAACCATGCGTGCATGTATATATAGGTTTCACTGATGAGAGGGTGTTTGGTTGGCCTTATCTTGCAGATCATAATTGTGCCTGATGCTCAGCAAGTTTCGTCCATAGATGTGCATCCGACGGAGCCATGGTGAGAGCGTCAGTTTGTTCTATAATGTGTGGTATATTGTACCAGCTACGTACAACTATAAACTGTATGTTCAATTCATCCATCCTTTGCACACAATTTATATGCAGGATTTTGACGACAAATCACGTAGGGATCATTCGTGTTTGGAACTACCACACAATGGTAGGCCGGTACTATTAATTTATCATGCATGCGTACATTCAGAACCGACTCAAGTTAATTGCTAATACATATGCATATGTTCTCTTGCCGGACACAGGAAACGCTGGACTCCTTTAAATTAGTGATATATGAACCAGGCAAGCATATGCTTACTTTCTAGCAGACTTGATTAATCTTTCACGTTGTAATTTGTTGATCACACACCACAAAGCTAAATCGTACCCCTTCGAACATATACTAATTCCGCTCAGTTGCATGCATGCAGTTTGTGCGGCAAAATTTATAGCAAGGGAGAAATGGATCATCACGGGTGATGGTAATGGGGTGATCCATGTGTACAGTTACGACCAAAACCAACATGACAAGACCTTGGATGCTCAAGATAGTTGCATCACAACTTTGGTTGTGCATCCAACGCAACCTTTTGTGCTGTCATTATCTGATGATGAAGATGACCCATTGATCAAGCTTTGGGACTGGGACAGGGGCTGGGAATGTACTCGAGAATTTCGGGGACACACTAACAAAGTGATGCAAGTAACGTTTAACCCAGAGAACAAGGACTGTTTTGCTAGTGCTTCCTGTGATGGCACGGTCAAGGTTAATTAATCTGCTTACTTTAGTTCTTCTTATGTTTACGAAAAAAACTTTAATTCTTCTTATCAAATTTGTTAATGATTTAATTTTTATGCACTTAAAATAACTGGCGTTAAATGACTCATAGATCTGGAGCATCTGTTCCGATAAGATCACCACACTGAAATTGGGTGGTCAAAGCCTGCTCTGTGTTGATTACTTTACACGCCGTAATCAACGATATCTGATCGTGGGCTGTCAAGACAAGACCGCACAGGTGGATGTGGCCTCTTCCCTGCATACATCATATACTCTTAACTCAATCATAATATATACAATTAATCGTAGTTAGCTACCAAGTTGCCATATAGCACGCTTCTAAAAAAAATGTTCCTTATTTGTTGTTGCTGAATCAAGATCTGGAAATTGGAGATGAATGGATGTTTTGACAAGCTAGAAGGGCATGCAGGCCATATCAGTGCCGTCAGTTTGCACCCGGAGCATCGATTGTTACTTACAGGTTCACTTGACGGAACCGTACGCGTATGGAACTCCATTACCTACAAGTACGTATGGCTTCAACTTTACTACAGCCACTACATATATAGCTGAATTTCCATGTGTAGGATTGTACAGTGATTGTAGACACTACATTTTCAGTTGCATAGTTAACAGTGCGTTCCCCTCCTAACATGATAGGCTTGAGAACATAATTGGTTTCAACCTCGGTGCAGTTTATGCTTTTGGATGCATAAAGGGCTCAAGGTAATTGGCAATGAATTTCATGTGTGTCCTTTCTCTAGTATACTATTCCCTCCGTTCCAAAATTATTGTCATGGTTTTAGTTCAATTTAGTTCAAATTTGAACTAAAACCATGACAATAATTTTGGAATGGAAGGAGTAGTTAATTGGAAAATTCCCAATCTGGTTTGTTTCATTTTGCTAAACATTGTAAGCAAAAAAAAAAAAGGAAATGAACTGTGTGACTTTTTGAAGTTCAATCTACAAAACTTAACAAGTAAGGTATGCAATACTTTATGTTTGAGAGCTTAGGTATAAATGATTATCACGGGTCTGAATACATTCATATTTGACAACAAACAATTGGTTTGGTGCCTAGTGGGTTGGTTGTACACAAATTCACCATGGACCAAACGTCAGGCTTGATGTCCAGTGCGTCTCATTAGGTCAAACTATTCAGGCCTCCGTTTTCATCTCTCTCTCTCTCTCTCTCTCTCTCTCTCTGTGTGTGTGTGTGTGCGCGCGCGCGCGCCTCTACATCAAACAGCGGGCACATCCATATTTGTTAAGTTCAGAGTGTCAAACGTTCACAATGTCGTACTCCCTCCTTTCCGGTTTATAGGGCTTATATCAAAATTTTAGTTTTTTCATTTTATAAGGCTCAATTTGGTTGTTTCCCATCACATGTTCAGATTTCAAGGTGCATTAAATCATTGCATGCAAGTATTAAGAGAAAATTGACCAATGCATGTAATTTATGCATGCATACATTGCAATTAATGCATTGGTAAACATACTTTTTTAGGAAAACAAGAGCATTAATTGGGTGCTTTTGCAAACTACAAAAAGTATTTCACCACTCACCATCTACCTTGGTTGGTGATATTTTTGAATTGAGCCTTAGGAATAGAAGTGGCGCACCTCCTGAAATGCAACCAGGCACTAAATAACTCAATCATCTATGCTATAATTGGATCAACATCCAACCCGGATGAAGAAACAATTACATATGTTAACATTGGATTGCCATCCAGCCTGGTTAGGGAAACCCCGTGCAGTCATCTCCCGTTGGTTTACACCCCCAAAGTTCATAGATCCTTTGTTCTCCACAGTTAGTACTGTTGCCCAGGCACGGATAAAACTGGATGGCTCGTAGATGATGTGCAAAAGTTTAGAAATTTGGATTTATTAAAAGCAAGCTCATTACAACAATTTTTTAATGCCCACACTAAAGCGCAAACATCAATACATATTCGTGCCTTAAGCTTAGTGGGAACTCCCATCAATCAGTTACCACTTGCCAAACATATTTTCCATTCTAGTTGGAGATGGTAGATTAAGCGCAACATGTAGCAAATAAATTCGTCGGTGGTGGTAGTGGTTGTTTATATATGTGAGTCTAAGTTTGTACTTGATAAACACAATCATATTTTGTGTGATGAAGTATTTCACAACCTTGCTCATCTTGTATTTGATAATTACATATTTGTGACATCGTCTATTAATCTTCTCAATTCTTACGCAACATTCTGACTGATCTTTTCAGGATGGTGGTTGGGTGTCATGAAGGAATAGCAATGGTGAAAATTTCTTTGCCTTCAGCATCAAGGTGTTAGAAGAGAGTACAACGAAGAAATATTATGAACATAATAAATGCATTTATTGGTTCAATATTTGATGTAGACAATTGAACTTCATAAATTTCACTTGGCACCAGCTACCAAGAACTTTCCTAAAAATACATGTATTATTTGCTTCCACAACATTGATGTGTTTAATTATGACAAACTATGCTAGCAACTTGTATGGATTGTTTGGGAATCATTGCTGCTCAGAATAGTTTTGTCGGGTACCTCAATGGTACGACAATTGCACATGATTTACTTGGTATTGGGACGTCACCTTAGTCCAACAGATGGACACGAGACATAGATTTTGCCCAGATTCCGCCCCCCTAGTCATGTTTAATCATGTTTTAAAATAGCAGGCTATGACAAATAGCGGCGGTCCTTCAAATAAGCTATAACGGGGCTATTTCAGAATTTTTCCAGACAATTATACATAACCCTATAGCCTATCATTTAGCGACACCCTACTCAAACCGCTATAGCGCGGCAATAGCCGGCTATTTAAAACATGTTAAGATGTAATTAAGGAGTGGATCTAGGTAGAGTGTCATAGATTAGTCTGGATTTCGTCATCAGATGCCAACGTGTGTTAATCTTGGTCCTCCTCCATGGTGCAGCATGCCCTTATCGACCGAAACGATTCTGCATCTACTACTATTACACCACACATTGACCGCTATCTAGCATGCCTCTAGTGTATTAAGTTCATGAAAAATGGAGTAATGTCTTAAGCAAGATGAGATGATGTAGACAAGATAAAGTCACGTATGAGTAAACCCCATCTTTATACCATTGATAGCAACGATACATGCGTGTCATGTCCCCTTCTGTCACTAGGATTGAGCAAGGCAAGATCGAACCCATTACAAAGCACCTCTCCCATTCCAAGAAAAATCAATCTAGTTGGCCAAATCAAATCAATAGATCAGAGAGAAATACAAAGCTATAGTAATCATGCATAAAAGATTTCAGAGAAAACTCAAATAATATTTATGGATAGATCTGATCATAAACTCACAATTCATCGGATCCCAACAAACACACCGCAAAAAGTCAATACATCGAATAGATTTCCAAGAATATCGAGGAGAACATTGTATTAAAGATCAAATAGAGAGAACAAGACATCTAGCTATTAAGTATGGACCCATAGGTCTGTGGTAAACTAACCACGCATCATCGGAAGGGCAGCAAGGATGATGTAGAGCCCCTTTGTGATCTAATCCCCCTCTGATAGAGTGCCGAAAAAGTCCTCGAGATGGGATCTCGTGGTTCTAGAACTTGCGGCCGCGTAAAAAGTATTTCCTGGACTCCTCTGTTGGTGTCACGATTTTAGAGATTTTATAGAGGCAGAGTTAGGTAAAACGGAGCCACGTGGGCCCCACAAGCCACCAGGGCACGCCCTGGTGCCTCTTGGGCCCACGCTTCACCATCTGGTATTCTCTCGAAGCTTCTAGTGTCTCATTTATCCCGAAAAAATCTCCAAAAAGTTTCATGGCATTTTGACTTCACTTGGTACTGATATTCTGCAAAACCAAAAACAAGCAAAAAAACGGTAACTGACACTGGGCACTAAGTTAATAGGTTAATCCCAAAAAATGATATATAATTGCTTGAAAGTGTATATAAAACATCCAAGATTGATAATATGATATCATAAAACAATCAAAAATTATAGATACGTTGTAGACGTATCAGTGCCCAACAATAATTTGCTCACCCATGATACCTCTCCAACGTATCTATAATTTATGGAGTATTCATGCCATGTTTACAACAATTTTATATGGTTTTGGTATGATTTGGATGGAACTAATCCGGACTAACGCTGTGTTTAGCAGAACTACCATGGTGTTGTTTTTTGTGCAGAAATGAAAATTCTCCAAATGCAATGAAACATTTTGATGATTTTTTTGAACAAAAGAGGCACTAGAAGCTTCATAGGAGGACCAGAAGGTAAAGGAGGTGAGCACAAGACACCTGGGCATGCCAGGAGGCCCACCCACACCCAGGTGGGTTGTTCCCACCTCAAGGCCCATCTTCGCGTGATTCCAACGCTGAAAATCCTATAAATAGAGAAACCATCAGAAATAACCCTAGATCAGATGTTCCACCACCGCAAGCCTCTGTATCCATGAAAAACCATTCGGGAGCCCGTTTTGGCACCCTGCCGGAGGGGGAAATCATCACCGGAGGCCATCTTCATCATTCGTATGGCCACAATGATGAGGAGGGAGTAGTCCACCCTCGGGGCTGAGGGTTCATACCACTAGCTATGTGTTTCATCTCTCTCTCTCTCTCTCTCTCTCTCTCTCTCTCTGTCTCTCGTGTTCTTGATGGAACGACCTTGATGTATCGCGGGCTTTAATATAGTTGGATCATATGGTGTTTCTCCCTCTCTATCTTGTTGTGATTAATTGAGTTTTCCCTTTGAGATTTCGTTTTATCGGATTGAATATTTTTTTGGATTTGAGAGCACTTGATATATGTCTTGCATATGAATACCCGTGGTGACAATGGGGTATTATATTGATTCACTTGATATATGTTTGGGCACTCAACTTGCGGATTCCCGAGGTGACATTGGGGTAATCTTTGCATAGGGGTTGATGCACGTTTTCATCCTTGTTTCTCTGATAGAAATCTTGGGGCACTCTTTGAGGTTCTCTGTGTTGGATCAAGTACTATGTATCTGAAATTGTTTGATGCGTATCATATAATTAACTCATGGATACTTGTGGTGACATGGGAGTAAGGTGACATTAGAGTTGGTTGATGCATATCATATGGTGTTATTTTAGTATGAACTCTTGAATAGATCGAATGAAAAGAATAACTTTAAGATGGTTTCGTACCCTACAAACAATTTCTTCGCTAGGTAAGAACTTTGGAGTGTTTCTCCGCTAGATAAGAACTTTGGAGTGATTCTTCATCACACGTTGATGGATGGTTATATCATCCAATTAGATTAGCATTGTTGAGAGATTGCACTAGCGAAAGTACACACCCTAGGCCTCATTTTCAAGCATTGCAATACCGTTAGTGCTCTATTTTATCAATTGCTACCTTACTGTTTTTTATTGTTCCTATTACAAAAATCAATATCTACTATCACTACTACACATGTATTACCATCTCTGCGCCGAACTAGTGCACCTATACAAATTACCATTGTATTTGGTGTGTTTGGGACACAAGAGACTTTTTGTTATTTGGTTGCAGGGTTGTTTGAGAGAGACCATCTTCATCCTACGCCTCCCACGGATTGATAAACCTTAGGTCATCCACTTGAGGGAAATTTGCTACTGTCCTACAAAACTCTGTGCTTTGGGGGCCCAACACGAGTCTACAAGAACAAGTTGTGTAGTAGACATCAACCCACCGTTTTCTATGTGCTCGAGAAAGAAACCTCTAGTGAAAATTATGTCCCCCGGGTCTACTTCTATCATATATAAAAACACAAAATACCTTGCTGCAATTTTATTTCTTTTATTTTGTTTTGCAACTCACTTTATTATCTACCACTACAAGATTTAATCCTTTCAAGTAACCGCCAAGTGAAGGAAATATGCCCTAGAGGCAATAATAAAGTTATTATTTATTTCCTCATATCATGATAAATGTTTATTATTCATGCTAGAATTGTATTAACTGGAAACATGATACATGTGTGAATACATAGAAAAACATAATGTCACTAGTATGCCTCTACTTGACTAGCTCATTAATCAAAGATGGTTATGTTTCCTAGCCATAGACATGTGTTGTCATTTGATTAACGGGATCACATCATTAGGAGACTGATGTGATTGACTTGACCCATTTCCGTTAGCTTAGCACTTGATCGTTTAGTATGTTGCTATTGCTTTCTTCATGACTTATACAAAGTTCCTATAAATATGAGATTATGCAACTCCCGTTTACCGGAGGAACACTTTGTGTGCTACCAAACGTCACAACGTAACTGGGTGATTATAAAGGAGCTCTACAGGTGTCTCCGAAGGTACATGTTGAGTTGGCGTATTTCGAGATTAGGTTTTGTCACTCCGATTGTCGGAGAGGTATCTCTGGGCCCTCTCGGTAATGCACATCACCATAAGCCTTGCAAGCAATGTAGCTAATGAGTTAGTTATGGAATGATGCATTACGTAACGAGTAAAGAGACTTGCCGGTAACGAGATTGAACTAGGTATTGTATACCGACGATCGAATCTCGGGCAAGTAACATACCGATGACAAAGGGAACAACTTATGTTGTTATGCGGTTTGACCGATAAAGATCTTCGTAGAATATGTAGGAGCCAATATGAGCATCCAGGTTCCGCTATTGGTTATTGACCAAGAATAGTTCTAGGTCATGTCTACATAGTTCTTGAACCTGTAGGGTCCGCACGCTTAACGTTACGATGACAGTTTTATTATGAGTTTATAAGTTTTGATGTACCGAAGGTTGTTTGGAGTCCCGGATGTGATCACGGACATGACTAGGAGTCTCGAAATGGACGAGACATAAAGATTGATATATTGGAAGCCTATATTTGGATATCGGAATCGTTCCGGGTGAAATCGGGATTTTACCGAAGTATCGGGGGGTTACCGGAACCCTCCCGGGGGTTAATGGGCCTTAGTGGGCCATGAGAGAGAAGAGGAGGGCCGGCCATGGCAGGCCGCGCCCCCCAGCCCGAATAGGACAAGGAGGGGGGGCGGCGCCCCCCTTTCCTCTTTCCCTCCCCCTTTCCTTCTCCACCAAGGCAAGAGGGGGGAGTCCTACTCCCAGTAGGAGTAGGACTCCTCCAGGCGCACCCCTAGGGGTCGGCCGCACCTGCCCCCTCCCTCCTTTATATACGGGGCCAGGGGGAACCTCTAGACACACAAGTTGATCTTCGTGATCGTTCCTTAGCCGTGTGCGGTGCCCCCCTCCATCATATTCCACCTCGGTCATATCGTTGCGGTGCTTAGGTGAAGCCCTGCATCGGTAGAACATCATC